ACGCCCCCCTTCCCATGAGGTTTTAGTCGCCCCTACACCCCCGGCTCATACCTGCTGTCCACAAGGCTCCCACGTGGCCGCCATCTTTCTTTCCAGAGGGAGGAGGGCGGAAGGGAGCAACACCCTTTCCCCTCCGGGCAGACATGATGGCCTGGATTAACGCATAGTCCTTTCACTTTTCTGTTCCAAGCTGCTGGGTTCTGCATTAAGTCCTTGTGCTTCTGGGACTGTGGCCGTGCTGTAGAGCCGCTCGTGGGGGGCAACTGGTGACCTCGGTAGGGCGTGAAGGACGGACTGGAACGCCCCCCTTCCCATGAGGTTTTAGTCGCCCCCACTCCCCCGGCTCATACCTGCTGTCCACAAGGCTCCCATGCAGCCGTCATCCTTCTTTCCAGAGAAGAGAGGGCGAATGGGGCAACACCCTTTCTCCTCCGGCAGACTTGATGGCCTGGATTAACGCATGGTCCGTTCACTTTTCTGCTCCAAGCTGCCGGGTTCTGCATTAAGTCCTTGTGCTTCTGGGGCCGTGGCCATGCTGGAGAGCCACTCGTGGGGGGCAACTGGTGACCTCGGTAGGGCGTGAAGGACAGACCGAAACGCCCCCCTTCCCATGAGGTTTTAGTCGCCCCCACACTCCCGGCTCATACCTGCTGTCCACAAGGCTCCCATGTGGCCGCCATCTTTCTTTCCAGAGGGAGGAGGGCGGAAGGGAGCAACACCCTTTCCCCTCCGGGCAGACATGATGGCCTGGATTAATGCATAGTCCTTTCACTTTTCTGCTCCAAGCTGCTGGGTTCTGCATTAAGTCCTTGTGCTTCTGGGACTGTGGCCGTGCTGGAGAGCCGCTCGTGGGGGCAACTGGTGACCTCGGTAGGGCGTGAAGGACGGACTGGAACGCCCCCCTTCCCATGAGGTTTTAGTCGCCCCCACACCCCCCGCTCATACCTGCTGTCCACAAGGCTCCCATGTGGCTGCCATCTTTCTTTCCAGAGAGGAGAAGGCGACTGGGGCAACACCCTTTCCCCTCCGGACAGACCTGATGGCCTGGATTAACGCATAGTCCATTCACTTTTCTGCTCCAAGCTGCTGGGTTCTGCATTAAGTCCTTGTGCTTCTGGTGCCATGGCCGTGCTGGAGAGCCGCTCGTGGGGGGCAACTGGCGACCTCGGTAGGGCATGAAGGACGGACCAGAACGCCCCCCTTCCCATGAGGTTTTAGTCGCCCCCGCTCCCCTGGCTCATACCTGTGGCCACAAGGCTCCCATGTGGCCGCCATCTTTCTTTCCAGAGGCAGGAGGGTGGAAGGGACCAATACCCTTTCCCCTCCGGGCAGACATGATGGCCTGGATTAACGCATAGTCCTTTCACTTTTCTGCTCCAAGCTGCTGGGTTCTGCATTAAGTCCTTGTGCTTCTGGGGCCGTGGCCGTGCTGGAGAGCCGCTCGCGGGGGGCAACTGGTGACCTCGTTACGGCGTGAAGGACGGACCAGAACGCCCCCTTTCCCATGAGGTTTTAGTCGCCCCCTCACCCCCGGCTCATACCTGCTGTCCACAAGGCTCCCATGTGGCCGCCATCTTTCTTTCCAGAGAGGAGAGGGCGAATGGGGCAACACCCTTTCCCCTCCGGACAGTCATGATGGCCTGGATTAACGCATAGCCCGTTCACTTTTCTGCTCCAAGCTGCTGGGTTATGCATTAAGTCCTTGTGTTTCTGGGGCTGTGGCCGTGCTCCAAGCTTAACTATGATTTTCAGAGAGAAAAGTTGGGTGGTTTACTTCCCATGGATCACTTTGTATATAGAGAGATGTCGCACGGCCGCATAAGCGGCCGCGCGGTTTGGAGGAAAAGTCCTAGTTCCCGCATACTCGAGCTGTGGTTGTAGAGGCTTCTGGTCACCGGGGTTCCATCTGAGGGAGGCGGGATGCGGTACCTATCCCATCTGGGGCTTCCCAATGATCTCGGCTCTTTTTGGAACCTGTTTTTTATTTATTTTTTTTTCCTTCGGGATCTGTGGATCCCGCCCTCCATGTTGTCCTTCTCTTTGGCTGAATGCTGTAAATATGGCGCTGGGGGGCGGGCTGTGGGCGTGACTTCCGGAATCTGAGGTTACCTGGGTGTTGTAGTCCCGGCAGATTTGAGGAAAAGTCCAAGTTCCCGCATACTCGAGCTGTGGTTGTAGAGGCTTCTGGTCACCGGGGTTCCATCTGGGGGAGGCGGGATGCGGTACCTACCCCATCTGGGGCTTCCCGATGATCTCGGCTCTTTTTGGAACCTGTTTTTTATTTATTTATTTTTTCCTTCGGGATCTGTGGATCCCGCCCTCCATGTTGTCCTTCTCTTTGGCTGAATGCTGTAAATATGGCCTGCTCTAAGTTTTATGATCTCTTTCCTTCTGCCTGATTTGGGCTCCTTTTGTTGATTCCTTTTCTAAGCTCTTGAGCTGTGAAGTCAAGTTGTTTATGTGGGCCCTTTCTTCCTTCCTAAGAAATGCTTGCAGAGCTATAAATTTTCCCCTTAACACGGCTTTAGCTGCATCCCATAGGTTCTGGTAGCTCGTGATAAGACCCACTTTTACTTTGTCTTTTAAGCCTTTTTTGTTGTTTATTTGGGGCACATCCAGCAGTTCTCAGGGATTACTCCAGACTCTGCTCAGAGATCATCCATGGCATTGCTAAGAGACTGGGGATACATCTAGATCAGCTCTGTGCAAGTCAAGACCCTTACCCACTGTACTGTTTCTTTAACCTGTCATTTAAGTCTTACATTTGCACCATGTTTTATAATCTGGGCTTTTTCCCCATTCCCTTTGTTTTTCAGATGAGACCCCCAATTACTCTTGTACCATATTCATAGTGTGTCTTCATTCCTTGATTCCTCTCATTTCTATACTTAATAATAAGTTAATATTTATCACATATTTATTTGATAGCCATTTTATTCATATTCTTTTCTGTTCTTTGTAAGCTCTTTCTAGTCATAAACTATATTTTAGGGACCGGAATGATAGTAGAGTTGGTAGGGTGCTCGCACATAGCTGACCCAAATTCAATCCCTAATACCCCATGTACTGTGCACTGCCAGGAATTGTCACTTAGCACAAAGCCAGGAATAAGCTCTGAGCACAGCCAGGTGTGGCACAACAAAAGTAATCTATATTGGCACTTTAAAAAGCAATCAGTACAGTCACTTCCTATAGTTCTATTTTTAAGTTTTTAGTTTTTTTAACTTAATTTTTGTGGGGGAGTTTTGGGGCCCACACCAAGGAGTGCTCAGGGTTTCTTCTGGGTCTGCACTCAGGGATCTTTCCTGGAGGCATTTGGGGGATTGTTTAGGGTGTCGGGGGTCAAAACCAGGTCAACCACATGCAAGACAATCACCCTACCTGCTGTACAATCTGGCCCAGGAATAAACTATTTTTCACTCGTCTTAGTATTTCTAGTCTTGGCACAAGATGCCTGTACATAACCAAATGATAGATTGAGTTGAATTCATTGTTGCTCTAAACTACTAAAATTTATCATTTTATCTTTTTCTCCTTTAAATGTTATATGTGTAGTTAGCATTTCAGGTATATATTTTATTGTGGTAACATTAAATTAAGGGAATGTAATTTCATGGTCACGGTCCTTCTGTTGTTCATCGATTTGCTCGAGCGGGCCCATTAAATTAAGGGAATGTAATTTATGAGAACGTAAATGTTTATGTTTTAGGGGTACAACATTACAACACCATGCCCACATACACTGTCACGTATACATTGAAGAAGAATATGTATACATCTTTTGCAGGGTGAAGAGCCCTGTACATGTCTATTAAGCAGAGTTCTTCATTTCCTCCTTTAAGGGTATTCTTAATTTCAGCCTGGCTTATTTGTCCAACGTGGAGGAGGTGGGGTAAATCTAACACTATGGGTCAGAGAGGCAATACAGGAGTTAAGGCACTAGCCTTACACACAAGCAATGCTGTTTCTATCTGTGACACCACATACAGTCCCTTGAGCACTACCCGAGGTCACTCCTGAGCACAGAGCCAGGTCCTGACCATTACTGGCTATGACCTCAAAATCAACCAGTTGATCAATCAGTTTACTGTTGTGTTACTATGGATATCTTTCTTTGAGACTGCTATGTTATTGGTAACTTTATATATCATGGTGCTCCTTTTTGGTGACTATATGATTTCTCTTGTTTTAGTTTTTGGGTCACACCTGGCAGTGCTCAGGCTACTTGGGACCATACGATGGGGTTGGGACAACACTCAGGGATCTTGTATACAAAGCATGTGCTAGGGATCTTGTATACAAAGCATGTGCTGTAGCCTTTTGAGTTTTTTTTCCCTACTCTGAGTATATATGTTATTGAGTATTAAATCTTGTTGATGTATTGATATTGATCCATTGATCATTGTATAGTATCTATCTTCCTGCCCTTTTTTAAAAACTTGATGTATATTTTGTCTAATATGTTTGTGACGGTCCCTGTCATTTTTTATGCTACCATTTGCCTCTATGATGTTTTTTCAACATTTTACTTGAGTCTGTTTATCATAAAAGTTCAGGTATGTCTCTTGTAAGAGGCAGAATGTTGGTTTTTGTTTTCTAAGAGACATAAAATTAAGGCACTTACTAAAATACTGGGAAAGTACTGAGAAATACTGAGTACTAAGAAAAAAGTACTAAGAAAAACAAAACAAGCTTTATCAAATTAGAATTCTTGCACCAATGATTGATGTCTTGCACAAATGAAAGTCTACTAATAATTTTTCTAAAACAAAAGTTGACATTACACTGCTAATTCATGACATTACATGAAGAAATTTTAAAGGATATATATGGATGATAAGAAATATTTTCAATCAACTAAAAAAAAGTTTTGAAAGCAGCCTCTCTACCTTAATAAAGTGATTTGGCATGGTAGAAATTTAATTAATATAATATAATATAATTTTGCAAATGAGCTTTGTCTTCTATATTTTGAATATAATTTTGAATTTGAATTGTAGGTTGAACTGAAACGACAATACAATGACCAGCATTCAAAATTAAGAGGTCTTTTACCTGGCCGTCAGTGGTATGAAATTCAAGCATACAGGGCCTTGAACCAGGCCCTGGGTAGGTAAGTGGAACGAAATTTAATGCAATGTAGTCACTTAGCTGTGACTACAGCTAAGTATAGCTAGTCCTGCTACTTTACCTTTACCATAAATTTAGTAAAATTTTATTTCACTAGATCCTTAGAAATTGGCATCATTTCAATGGTAGATATCATGGTGAATATAAAAAGAATCTGTAGACTAAATGAAGCCCAAAATAAAACTCAAAGTTTGATAAAATTTAAAGATAAAAGTATGATTGATTAAGGAATGAAGTTCAGTGAATGTTTATAGAAGTTTTACAAAGTTTAATTTTTTTCTTTTAAGAGAACTCAGATTATAAAATAATAATAAGGCGAGAAGCAAATAATTGAAGAAGAGTTTTTGAAAATCATGCTTGGGGGACCTGAGAGATAGTTTAGTGGGTAGGGTACCTGTCTTGCATGTGACCAACCTGGATTCAGTTCCTGGCACCACATATGGTCTCCCGAACCTCACCAGTAATAACTCACGAGCAGAGTCAGGAATGAGAACTGAGCACAGTCAGGTGTGGCCCAAATCCCCTACCCCACCAAAAACCATGCTCAAAGGTGCTAAATTACCAACGAAAAGGAATATTATAAAACTTCTTTTTTAAAAAAAAAGTATAAAGATTTGTGCTTGTGAAACTAGTTTTAAATCATCACTTTATACCTTAATTTCATATTGTAGGACATTAATTTCATATTGTAGGACATTATTTTATAAACAAAAAGGAAAGATCAGAGGCCTTGGATGATAGTGCAAATGGTAAAGCATATACCTTGCATGTGTGAAGAAACCTACCATTAATAAAATAACAGTATAGTAGTATAGTTAGTATAGTGTACTTAGTATATTTTCTATACTTAGTAATAGTATAGTAAAGGAAATAAGAAGATTATGGGAAGGGGACAGAGAGATAATACATGGATAGGGCACTTGCCTTTCACACAGCTGACCCGGGTTTGAGCTCCCGCATCCCATAATGATCCCAGAGCATCACTAGGTGTAGCTCCTCCTTCCCCCAAAAAAGATCATGGGAATGTGGATGATGCGGCTCAGTTGTAGAGCACATCCTTGCATGTGTGAGGACTTGGGTTTGAGCCCTAGCACTGCATAGCCCCCACTATGTTCTCCTAGGAGTAACCTTGGTAACCCCAAGTTGTGACTGTTAGTTTCCCAAGCACTGGGTTGACCCTGCTACTAACCCCCAAGCACCACCTGGAGTAGGGTCCTTGAGGCCTCTGAGCATTTTCTAATATGACCTCACAATAATTTTTTTAAAAAAGAATGGTAGGATAATTTATATGGTACATGAAAAATACCTCATGCATTTGAAAAAGGCAATAATAAATTGAGCAAAAGAGCAAATAAATGGCAAACTGGATATTTCATAATAGCTAGGTAAATCCTACCTTAACAGTTCCATCAAATGTAAATGGAGTAAGTATTTCAACCAAGAGGTACATTGGCAAAATAGATTAAAAAAAAAAAAAAACAACTGTATGGCAACTGCCTGAAAGAGAAATACTTTATGTGTGTGTGTGTGTGGGGGGGGGGGGAAGCTTTTTTTTTTTTTTTTTTTTTTTTACAAAAAGGGCTAGTGTGCATGATGGAGGCTCAGGTTTGATATAACACCCCCACCCCCACCCCCACTCCCTGCACTACCATATAGAATAACCCTTGAGCACCACAGGTTATGACTCCAAAGTAAACAAACTAAACCATACAGATAAGGTAAATGGTTGGGATAAAATGTATGAGGCAGATAGTAACTAAAAAAGAACGTGATTGGTTACACTAATAAGAGACAGGATAGACTTGAAGATAAAAATTGTTCTTCAGAAAAAAAAAATTGTCATTCAAACACTAGATATCTGTTTCTTTGCATCCAGAATATATAACATGTGTAACTAACAAAAGGACCCCAAATAATATGTGACAGTCGGAAATAGTTTAGAGTTCCCTTTAAATAATACAGAATAATTAGAAAATTTAAATCTTGAGTAACATTATAACCAATAGATGTAACTAATAGACATTTGCATCATACTCTACCCTTCAACAACAGAAAACACTTTCAGTGCATGTTTCACAGGACTGAACAGTATCTTTTATTTGTTGTCATTTTTGCATCCAATTAGTTTAATAAAAAGTACATTACAGGAAATTACTTTAAGGAAATTTTTATTAATTTATAAAATTAATTTTATAAAATTTATTAAATTTATAAATTAATAAAAATTTCCTTAAAGTAAGGAAATGGTTACTAATTTGTAAAAAAAAGCCAAAGATTGTTAATTCTGTTAGATTTAGAGGAGAAAGTGAAACCCTGGCATTCTTTTTTTTTTTTATGTAGGAGTACTGCTATTTATTCAGCCACTGATTAGCTGATTGAACTGTGCATAAACTCCACCTTAATTTTTTTTTCATTTTTTATAATTTTCTTTATTGAATCACCATGAGAACAGTTACAAAGCTTTCGGGTCTAAGTCTCAGTTATACAATGAAACACCCATACCTTCACCAGTGCCCATTCTCCACCCCCAACAACCCCAGTATACCCCTATCCCACACCTTCCCCCTACCTGTGGGGCAGATGATTTCCACATTACTCTCTCTCTACTTTGATCACATTCAATATTTTGACACCAGACCCACCATTATTATTTGAGATTTTACCCCAACACTCAGATCTGCTTGAAAAGGCAACCATAGACAATTTGTTTTCTATTGCTGGTTATGTATAACATATGATGTCGCATGGCTGCAATAGTGGCCATGCGATTTTGAAATTCCGCAATTTTAACACTTAAATCTGGAGGGATTTCTGCCAAAACCGGCTGGGTTCCGAGATTTGCTCCTGAGTCTCTGGGATCATCACCATTAAACAGCTTGATCAGGAGCCAGAAAGGCCGTTCGGGTCTCCTTGGGGTGGGGAGGACAGGACCTGCTCCACCCCCATCCCGTGAGGCCCAAAATGTCTCATCACTGTGGGCCCAAACCTGACTGTCCAATGGCCTCTGGAGGATGACGGCCACCGAGTCGCCAGGGGGAAGTAGGCGGAGGGACAACACTCTTCCCCCTCTGGGGTGGCTCAGCGACAGTAACCTACTGCATGGTCCAGACACATTTCTGCCAAAAGCCACGGGAAACCCTGGCATTCTTGCAATTGACAAGGGAGGATTCCTTTGGAAAGTAATTGTTCACAGCCTTGATTGCTTTAGAATAGAATTTCTAAAAGACATACATTACAGACTATCAAAATATACAGGGCACATTTAAAATATGCATGTAAATTTTTAAATATAATTATGATCTCTAAGTTGGAGCCATAGCACAGCTGGTAGGACGTTTGCCTTGCGCGCAGCCAGCCTGGCCAGCCAAGCCAGATTCAATTCCTCTGCCCCTCTTGGAGAGCCTGGCAAACTACCGAGAGTATCTTGCCTGCACGGCAAAGCCTGGCAAGCTACTTGTGACATATTCGATATGCCAAACACAGTAACAAGTGTCACAATGGAGACGTTACTAGGCCCGCTCAAGCAAATCAATGAACAATAGGAAGACAGTGACAGTGACTATTATGATCTTTATTTTTAAAAAATCAGGTTGATACTATTTTAAAAGAAATTAATCAACTCAGAAGTTAAACTTAAAATGTGATTTGTTTTTTTGTTTTTGTTTTGGGGCCATACCTGGTAATGGTCAGGAGTTATTCCTGCCTCCCCACTCTGGAATCACTCCAGGCATTCTTCAGGGGACCATATGGTATGCTGAGGATTGAAGCCTGGTCGGCCTTGTGCAAGGCATGTGCCTTACCCACTGTACTTTCTCTTCAGCCCCTAAAAAGTGATCTTGATATTACGTTTTTCATTTAATTTCTATCTTACTTGACTCAAAAAATTTAATTGCGCATGCCACCCTGCACTTGCCAAGCTCAGCACCACAGATGCAGCTGCCGGGCTGCAGTGGTGAGAGCACAGAGAAGATGGCAATTTCTACACTCAGTGCCCAGAGTGCTAAGAATGGTTTTTAGTCTCACATTTGAAGGAAAAAAAAATAATAGTAATATTTAATGAAAAAAAAAGGTGAATTGCATTGATTTTTAACATCTAATGAAGATATGAATTATATATTTTCAAGCTACCGAGAGTATTCGATATGCCAGACACAGTAACAACAAAGTCTCCAATGGAGACGTTACTGGACCCGCTCGAGCAAATATTTTAAAGAATTTATATTTTTTATTTTTGCTTTTTTTTTAATGCAGGAGTACTGCTATTTATTCAGCCTTTTATTAGGCTGATTGAATTGGGCATGAACTCCACATTACTTCTTCTTATTCTTTTATTTTTTTAATAGAATCACTGTGATACAGTTACAAAGCTTTCATGTTTGAGATTCAGCTGTACAATGATTGAACACCCATCCCTCCACCTGTGCACACTTTCCACCACCAGTATCATGTTATATCTAGATATGTAAACCACAGCAAATAACACTGAAGCATGGGGTTCAAACCACAGCAACCAAACTTAACAGTGGGCCTTTCAAGGAGATGGGTTGCAGATGGGAGGGAATCTGGGAACACTGGTGGAGGAAGTTGACACTGGTGGTGGGATTGGTGGAACAGTGTATGCTTGAAACTTGACTATGAATAGTTTTGTAAACCATGAAGCCTTAGCGCAAAGAATTCTTTAAAAATAATTTTTTTAAAATTGGGGAGCTTGAGGTCACTTCCGATAGGCTGGGATCAGTCAAGGCTTACTACTGGCTCTGTGCTCAGGAGGCTTGGAAGTGCTTGAGGGACTACATGCAGGGCTAGGGATCTAACAGGGGTCAGCTGTGTCCATGGCAGGTGCCTAACCCCTCTATGATCGCTCTAGCCCTAAAGTTTGCCTTTTAAACTCTGCAGTTTGTTTATCTTAAATAAAATTTTCAAATAATTATGTAATATCAATATATGTAAAAAGTTATTTTACAAACTTTATGTAAATATCACTGTAAAACACTGTCATCCCATTGTTCATCGATTTACTCGAGTGGAAGCCAGTAACGTCTCCATTCATCCCAGCCCTGAGATTTCAGCAGCCTATCCTTTCTCATCTTTCCCAACAACTGCCATATTGGAGGCTCTTTCAGGGTCAAGGGAATGAGACCCATTATTGTTACTGTTTTTGGCATATTATATATGCCATGGGTAGCTTGCCAGGTTCTGTCATGCAGGCAGGATGTCTCAGTAGCTTGCCAGGATCTCGAGAGGCAAATATATATATATATATAATATTTTTTTTCCTCTATGATTTACTGCCTACTGCCAGAACCCCATCAAATATGGTTTGGTAATTATGGAAAATGAGTAGGGAGTGTCCTATGATATGTAGTGTGGCTGCGAAAGGAGATACCGCGGTCCAGGAATATGTCTACTCATATGTGAGTCTCGGCCTGAGCATGTGGAAAGCAGCCTGGAGCATGGCGGTGGTTGGGTAGCGGAGGTTGGCTGCTGGGGCTGGGTCCCTTGGGGCAGGGTGGGCTCCCACCCACCCCACTCTGGAGTGCCCTGAGTTAAAACTGCCTGGCTCAGAGTCTGGTGACATGGTTATAGGGGCTTCCAGGAGAAGCAGCCGTGAGTTCTGGAGGGTGGCCAATGAGATTATATGGCACCGGCAGGAGGTGGCTTATGGGTGTAACCTCTGAGTCGCAGGAGGCTGGGGGAAGTAGGCAGAGTATCTCTGCTTCTGGATCTCATTGAGCCCAGAGTCCAAGGTTACAAAGTTCTGCATTATTTGGGTTCTATGGGACTGCACCCATGTGTGAGGCTGGGCCCGAGCGTTTGGAAAGCAGCCTGGAGCTTGGCTGTGGTTGGATAGTGGAGGTCAGCTGCTGGGGCTGGGTCACTTGGGGCGGGGAGGGCTCTCAACTGACCCCTCTGGGGCACCCCGAGTGAAAACATCCTGGAGAAGAGTCTGGTGGCATGGTTATGGGGGCCTTATTTTATGCTCCCTTCCGGGAGATGCAGCTATGAGTTGCAAATGTAAGTATATGTAAATACAGTTCCTGAAAAATTTTCCTCCATCAAAGTATTTAGAAATTTGCTAAATTACTGGACTGGAGTGATAGCACAGCAGGTAGGGTGTTTACCTTGCACACAGCCAACCTGGGTTCAATTTCTCCGTCTCTCTCAGAGAGCCCAGCAAGCTACCGAGAGCATCCCGCCCGCACGGCAGAGCCTAGCAAGCTACCCATGGCGTATTCAATATGTCAAAAACAGTAACAATAAGTCTCACAATGGAGATGTTACTGGTGCCCGCTCGAGCAAATCTATGAACAACGGGAGAACAGTGCTACAGTTAAATTATTAATAATAGTATCCTTCGCAATTAAAAAAATCCGTCTATATGCTTATGTATTTGGGAAATTTCTAAGAAAAGACTATACTGGGAAAATTCCTAATTTTACTTCATAGGAACTTTTTACAAATTTTTATTAAGTCAGAATACGATTGGGTGGTTCAACACCTCCATGATTGTGCGAGGAATGCTGAGAGAGAGATAGCCACAAAAAGACGTCTGTCTTCGAAAACTCTTAAACTCATTCGGCAATGTGGCTTGGCGCAAGCCTCAGGCAACTGCAAGCGAACGTCCGAGCTCGCAAAGCATTGCAGAGAAGCGATAAAGGAAGACCTCAAAGAGAGAAGAGCAGCAGTGCTGGCAGAGGCGGCAGAAGCTGGGAAAAGCATTCCCCTGTCCTTCGCCAACTACAAGACCAAGATGACTGCCCTCCGACGTCCTTGATGGATCTATCACATCTTCCAGAAGGGCAATGGAGAAGATTATCCATGACTTCTACTCGGATCTCTTTGATAGCCACGTCCACCTGCCCACATACCAAATTCCACAGGATGAATATGTCGTTCCCAAAGTTCTCCCTTCCAAAATCTGACACGCCATTTTGTCAGTAAAGAAGTGAACAGCACCTGGCCCAGACAAGGTCAGACCCAAACACCTGAAGAACCTGCCATCAATACTCATCAATGCACTGACTCAGCTCTTCACGCACTACCTGTCTGAATGCACTGTTCCATCCCAATGGAAAATCAGCAGGACTGTACTACTGTACAAGAAGGGAGACATCCACGACATTGGCAACTATTGCCCGATCTGCCTGTTGTCTGTCATCTACAAGCTGTTCACTTGAGTCATCCTTAATAGGATCGGCAGAACACAACCATGCAAGCAAGCTCCACACGATAACCAAGCTCATTGAGGCTTCTCGGGAGTTCAAGATGCCGCTCTGTCTAACGTTCATTGATTTAAAGAAGGCCTTTGATTCTGTTGAGACAGAAGTGGTCATCGAAGCCCTAGCCAACCAGGGCATTCAAAGTCAATACATCAGGATCCTCCGTGAGCTATATTGTGGATTCACTACCAGGATCTCACCATTCTACAGGGAGGTGATCATTGACGTCAAGAGAGGGGTTCGGCAGGGGATACCATTTCATTGAAACTCTTCAGTGCCACCCTTGAGAATGTCATGCGATGACTGGAATAGGAGTGAAGATAGACGGTTGGCAACTACACCACCTCTGCTTCGCTGATGACATCGTTCTTATAACACCAAACATTAGCCAAGCGGCACAAATGCTGGCCAACTTCAACCTTGAGTGTAGAAAGGTCGGACTGCAGCTGAATATAACAAAAACAATGTCTATGAGAAATGGTCTCATTCCTGACATTCCATTCACTCTCAACGGGACGACCATCTCTAAATGCAACAGTTATGTATACCTAGGTCAAGATGTCAACATGACGAATGACCTGGCACCTGAGTTTTGCAGGAGGAAGAGAGCAGCTTGGAACGCCTCCAAGAATGTCAAAGAAATAGCTAAAAGAACAAAGAACCTCTGGCTCTGGGCTCTGGGCACATCTCTTTGATTCCACTGTTCTTCCTGCATTAACATATGCCTCAGAGACCTGGACCCTACGAAAGCAGGATGAGAATGCTATTCGGATCTCCCAAAGAAGAATCGAAAGAGCTATGCTTGGAGTATCACGCTTCACTCAAATGGGAGAAAGAATACGGAGTTCCGACCTTCATCGATGGTCAAATCAACCGTCAAGAATCAGGGACGCTGTCTCATTCGCCAAGGCGTCGAAAATGAGATGGGCTGGACATGTTTCCTTCCTCCGCCTGACCATCACCATTGACCTCCCTGGGGTGGGAGAAGGGTGAGACTACCGAACGCAGGCGGCAGGAGAGATAGAGCCACCGCCGCTGTGTGCTGTGCCCCCTTTTGTGTGAGTTTACACAGTAAGAATATAAAATTGTACATTGCTTTTGTATGATATTTCCAAAGAAGTTAAATATAAAACCCAGCTATTTTACTCCTAAATATGTACCCAAGATACATTTTCTATACCTAAATATACAAAGCAATCATACAAAAACTTGTACACAAATATTCATAGCAGCATTATTCTCAAAAAGTAGAAATGGCACTGATGTAGAGTGATGTTGGAATGTTGTAACTAGGTGCTAGAGAGATAGCAGAGTAGGTAATATGTTCACCTTGCACATTTCAATCCAGGTTTAATTACTTTTTATTAGAAAGTAAAAGTCTTTAAAAAGAAGAATGAACTGTGAGGACTGGAGATATAGCTTAGTGGTAGAGCACATGCTTTACATTAGACTAGAGTGTATGTGTAAGGACTTGGGTTCATACCCCAGTACGACACACCAGGCCACAGTTCCTGAGACTTGGCAAGAGTGATTCCTAAGTACAGATTATGAGTAAGCCCTGAGCACTGCTGCTTGTGGCTCCCTCCAAATAAATAACTTTGGAAATGAAATGAAAATGTTCCAAAAGCTGAAAGTAACCCATGAGCACCTTTAGATGTGATACAAAACCAAAGCAAAACCAAATGTTCTATAATAGTTTGTGGTATAAGTTGTACCACCTTGTAAATGTACTCAAAACTTCTGAACTGTACACTTAAACTTTAAAATTTTTGTAATAAAAATTTAATATTGGCAGCAAACTTTTTATTAGAAAGTAAGTCTTTAAAAAGAAGAAGGGAACTATGAAGACTAGAGATAGAGTTTAATGTTAGAGCACATGCTTTGCATTAGTCTAGAATGCATGTGTAAGGACCTGGGTTCATACCCCAATACTACACACTAAAAAAATACTAATGTACCATAATAGTATTGGTATCTTAAGAATGAACGGGTGGTTAAGTATTTGAAATGTTGCCAGTAAAATTTACCATATTGATACTTCAAAGAAGAAAAACTATGTGATCATTGTCAGTTACTGGAAAAAAGTTATTTTACAAAATTATGCATTCAGTAAATTGTAATAAGGCAGTACCTCTATAGAAGAAAAACAAAATTAGTACATTCACAACTTATAAAATTGTGTGGCTAAAGGTTTTTAGAAAATATATTTTATAACTTTGTAGACTTTCAAATACAATGCACAAAAAATTTTTATATAAGTTTTCAGTAATTAGCAAGGATTTGGGTATGTTTGGGTTTTGATTTTATGGCCATACCCAACTATGCTCAGGGATCACTTTTGATGAGTCTCAGAGAGCCATATTTGATACAAGGGATCAAACCAGGTTGGCCACATGCAAGACAAATGCCTACCTGCTGTACTTTCTCTCCGACCTCAAGGGTTTCTCTTTTTTCACACCCCTATTTAGGTACATTGTATTGAGTTGTTTCTGCCATCTTATATTATTCTCTCACAAGTTCAATTAAAGAAATATGTAACTGAAATAATGATTTTTCTCAATCTTTTGTGTGTCCCACAATGTGGTTATTTTCAAAATTATTTTCTTTCTCCCTGCTTTTAGATGTATTCGGCACAAAAATGACTGGGGAGCCCTTATTCTAGTGGACGACCGCTTCAGAAGTAACCCAAATCGCTATATATCTGGTAAGATTCTCAGCTGGACTTAAGAGTGCAATCACCAATGAGTGACTTTGGGTACTTATTGAAGTTTTAAGACAAAGTGTTGGGCACAGAACTTAAATTCCTAGAGCAAACAGAAAAACTCACACTTGGAGGTCTGGCAGAATAGCACCAGGGGCCAAGGGCATCTGCCTTGCGAGCATGTATTCGTTACTACAAATCCCCAGTGTCCCGTGCACTGAGTGTAAACCTGACAGCTCTGCAGTCTCTGGCCCCTGGTGCCACTAGTGATTTCTGGCCACATCACACCCAGATGTATATGAGCACCACAGCCAGGAAATCTACAACCTCTGGAGTGCATGTGTGAGCACTGCCTGGAGAGTTCCACAGTCATGTGACTCACCTAAACCCATGACTCTTGGCAAGCATGTGTGAAAAACTGCAACTAAAGGAGTGTGAACATCGCTGAGCACAGAGATCAAGTGTGAGAGCACCCAAACCTGATGTAGGACCCCAGTAAACCCCACAGCTTAAAAAAATAAGTGTGAGCACCACAGCCAGGTGTGTGTGCAGCCCCTGTTCATCAGAGCAACATCAACCACCAACAAGAGAAAGGGACGGGGAAAGAGTAGGAATAAAAAGAAAAAAGAGAGAAAGAGAGAGAAATTAACCCAGACTATAAATTAGGACTTTAATGCTTTGTTTTCATAGTAATCTCCACAGGTTTGTTCGTTGCCAACATAGATCAATCAGTCCAGATAAGAGCAATTATTTAGCATTGTCAAGGAAAAGGTTCTTCCACAGAAATGAATTTTTCAAGAAATAATAGAGATGAGAGAGATAGTACAGGGCTTATGTGTATACCTTGTATGTTTCCATGCATGCTTCCTAGGTTTGATCCCTGACACACACACAGCCTTGCTAGCATCACCTGGACGCCTACCCTAGACCACTGGCTTGGCTCTGCTGGTCCCCGGCACTGCAGAATCCAAGTAGCACCATATCCTTAGGCCCTAACACAGAACCACTAGACCCATTGACTGAATATCACCAGAAGTGACCCCTAAGTGCCCTGACCACTGCCCAGGTAGCCTTGCCAAATTTTTCAAAAATAAATTAAAAAGAAATATTAGCATTTGGGGCTGGAGCAATAGAACAGCCGTAGGGCGTTTGCCTTGCACGCAGCCAGCCTGGCCGGCCGAGCCTCCTCCACCCATCTCAGAGAGACCCAGCAAGCTACTGAGAGTATCGAGCCCGCATGGCAAAGCCTGGCAAGCTACCCGTGATGTACTCGATATACCAAACAGTAACAACAAAGTCTCATGATGGAGATGTTACTGGGCCTGCTCGAGCAAATCGATGAACAACGGGAGGACAGTGCAGTGCATTAGCGTTTTACATTTTAAGCATATCTCCTTGGCTGCTTAGAATTCTTTGTTCTTTCATTCTAATTTATGTTGAGTTTTACTTGTTTTCTTATGCTTCAGTTGTTCACATGAACTAGTCTTTTCTAAAAGAAGAAAAAAAGGGGGGCCCAGGAATGGCTCGGTGACCAAAATACCTGCTTTGCAGCATGAGGAGCAAATTTCACCCATGTTGCCATCTGCATTCACGCAGTAGCCAGTGACTCTGCTAATTGGGACTGCCCCTTGCCCCGTGCAAGCCAAGTGTGTGATCCTTGACACACCACAGTCTGTGCAAATACTACAACTGAAGTGTGGAGCTTCTTGGCTGCTGTACCGCCTGGTGTCTAAACACAGCAGCTGAAAGAGTGGAGCCTCTGACAAGCACCAAAACAAGTTTTCAAGCACCCTACCAAATATATATATATATATCACTCTGGTCAGTGCAACAACAGCAAAGGGCAGGAAACTAAGGGGGGAAGTAGAAGGAAAAAACTCACTGTGTGCTACAAATTCAAGTAGAAAATCATTTTTTACCTACCCAAATGAACAAATCTACACCTATAGTTCTATCCAAAATTAACACTGTCCTTTTAGAATCCAGGATTTATTATCAAAGAACTGTTAGATATACTTACATTTTGGTTATTATCTGTAAATCTAAGCAGTTTGGGCCAAACTTCTTACCTTTAGAGATTGTACAGGGATTAATGTATTTGCCTTAATCAGATGGAGCCTGAGCACCCACTGGGGTGACTTGGGTAACACCGGGCCCCCAGAGCTTTTACTGCACTGTTTCCTGGGGCCCTCACATTGAATGCTTGGTGAAGAACCGGGAATAAAAGGGCAGGGAGTGTGTGTATGTGTGCGTGGGAGGTGCTCCCTGAGCCTCCTGTGCAGTACTTGGGAGGCCCAATGAATAAATCTAAAGAGTGTATGCCATACTGTAATAAAAAGATGTTACTTTTACATTTGTTTCAGATTAGCTGTCTATGGGTATGTACTTTTTCCACTACAGAACCGAATTAGTATATTTGGTGTCATATTAAAATGCATCAATGCTGCTTCATTAGTCTTTTCTTCCCTTTCCTTTGATAAAATTAGCCAGAGCGCTTAGGTCAAGTCATAACTAAAAGCAAATTTTTTTTAAAAAGTGCTAATATTTAGTGTGGGCTGGAGCGATAGCACAGTAGGTAGGGAGTTTGCCTTGCACGTGGCCAACCTGGTTCGATTCTTCCATCCCTCTTGGAGAGCCCGGCAAGCTACCAAGAGTATCCCACCTGCACAGCAGATCCTGGCAAGCTCCCTGTGGCATATTCGAAATTCCAAAAACAGTAACAACAAGTCTCACAATGAAGACGTTACTAGTGCCCACTGGAGCAAATCGATGAACAACGGGAGGACAGCTCTACAGTGCTAATATTTAATGAGCAGGTGGAGCTCAGATTTCTTCAAGTTTTCAAAAGCAAATAATTTCATTTTACAATGAAAAGCTTTCTTTGATTATAAAATGGCCTAAATGAAAAAAGCAACTAAAGAACTCAACTTTTTTAGTTTTGACAAGTTTTAATTTTGTATGATTGTTTTTGCTTCAAGCAAAACAGAACTTTTAAAGAAATATATAAAAGGTTGTTTTTTGTTTATTTTGAAGTCTAGAACATTAATTATTGTGTCACAGGTCAGATTTACTGTTTTTTAAAAGTATTTTTTATTATTTCTGGATGCTTTTAATTTTTTTCCTGTGACATCAAAGTGTGACATCTAGGCAAAAATAGCATAAAACATAAATTTCTTTTGGTAACTAATTTTTGTTCAACACACACAAATGTAAATTGATAAAAAAAATTTTTTCATTTTAAAAAGTCAAAATGCCCACTGAGTCAGGGATACTGCTTAATGGTGGAGTGAGCATCCATTTCCAGAACAGCTCTACATCATCCAGTGACTCCCAGTGGCTGTGATGATGGGATTCCTAACAGTCTCTGACACACACCAGCCAAGTGTGTGCCAGTGCAGCAGCCAAGTGGATAGCCCTCAGACATCACTGCGGCAACAGATGACCACAAAGAAAGGGAAATGGGGCAAACTAAAGGATTGTGTTTTCATATGATTTCACTAGTATGCTATATAAAGCAAAGTAGCACTCTACCACTGTCCTCCCATTGTTCATTGATTTCCTCGAGTGGGCCCAGTAATGTATCCATTGTGAGACTTGTTTGGCATATTGAATGTGTCATGGGTACCTTGCCAGGCTTTGCCACACGAGCAAGATACTCTAGGTAGCTTGCCAGCTCTCGGAGAAGGGCAGAAGAATTGAACCCAGGACGGCCGTGCCATCTGCGTGCAAGGCAAACCTTTCAGATTATAAGATCAAGTAATGATTGCTAGCTTTATTGGGGATAAAGGGTTGTAAGTCAGGATAAGAATATAGAAAGCTGGAATAGAAGGTTGTATTGTTTGCAGCTTCTGGCTTTCTATATTTATAAGCAATTTTTGTGGGAAATTATGTACATTTATTTGTCTTATTTTCCCCTTCTGCATATCTCTTTCCTTATTCCAGTTGATAATCATTGCATGTAAAGAGAAATGTTACTGATATATAGCATATTGGATTTAAGAAGGTAACAAAACCAGGTAAAAAAAACCATTTGGTATATTCTAAATTCAGAGTAGATTACTTCATTAGAATGAATGTTTTTTCAATAGGTCCTATCTTAACTAAGTAACCAAAATTCTTTCTCTGGTTTTACTTTTTTTCCCTTAGGACTTTCTAAATGGGTAAGGCAGCAGATTCATCACCATTCATCCTTTGAAAGTGCACTGGAGTCCTTGGCTGAATTTTCCAAAAAGCACCAAAAGATCATTAATATATCCAAAGAAGACAGAACTTTAATACAGGATAATGACTCTAGTTTTGAAACAGCCTATGTGAAGGACAATACCTCACCTTGCTTATTAGAAGCAGAAGGTCATCTGTCATCAGAACATCCTGAAGAAAATGAAACAAAAATGTGTGTCCAAGAATTACATTGTCCTAACATGGGAAATCCACCTCTACCAAGTGGCATCTGCTCTAGAGAGGAGAAAAGTATGAAAAATTTTGTTCATTTACATTTAATGGAGAACTCTTATTAAAATATATTTAAATATATTTTGAAATTATATGTTTAAAATTTATAAACATAAAATTATGTTATTTTATGTATTGTAGTTATACATTTGTTTGGTAATGAAATCATTCGTTAGAGTAGTTTGCTTAAATATGTTGGTTTATTTATTTTTTATTGAATCATCGTGAGATACAGTTACAAAGTTTTCATGTTTGGGTTTCAATAATACAGTGATCAAACACCCAGCCCTCCACTAGTGCACAGTCTCCAGCACCAGTGTCTCTAGTATACCCCCGCTTTCCAACCCTCGCCCTGCCTCCATGGCAGACAATTTCCCCCATACTCCCACTTTACTTTTGGGCATTGTAGTTTGCAATACAGATACTGAGAGGTTAGCACATCTGGTCCTTTATCTTTCAGCACACATATACCACCCCGAATGATTCCTCCAACCATCATTGTCTGATCCCTTCTCTATGCCAGCTGCCTTCTAACCCAGCTCATGAGACAGGCTTCCAACTATGGGGCAATATTCCTGGCCCTTGTGTCTATTGTCCTTGGATGTCCATCTCATATTTTATTTTATGTACCACAGATGAGTGCAGTCCCTTCTATGTCTGTCCCTCTCTTTCTGACTTATTTCATTTAGCCTGATACTCTCCATATCCATCCACTTCCAAGCAAATTTTATGACTTCATCCCTCCTAACAGCTGCATAATATTCCATTGTGTAGATGTATCAGAGTTTCTTTAACCAGTCATGTGTTCTCGGACACTTGGGTTATTTCCAGATTCCGGCTATTGTGAACAGTGCTGCAATGAACATGCAGGTGCAGATGTCATTTCTACTGTGCTTTTTTGCGCCCTCAGGATATCAATACCACTAGAGGTGGTATTGCGGGGTCATATGGATGCTCACTTTCTAGTTTTTGAAGGAATGCCCATAGCGTTTTCCCAAAAGGCTGGACCAGTTGACATTCCCACCAACAGTGAAAGATTTCCCCACATCCACATCATATGTTGGTTTATTTTAATATAATGGTATATATAAGGGATTTAAAACTTTATGGCTTATGGACTAAATTTTGTCTGCTGTTTCATTTTGTTAATAAAGTTTAATAGAATACAGTCACACCTGTTTATTTACATATACACAACAGCCAGGGTTGAGTAATTTGTATATCTTATAGTAGAACAGCATAATTGACTAACTGGAACAGATGTGGTATGACATACACACAAAGCCTAAAGTACTTGTTTGGGCTGTTATTAAAAAAAAAGTGCCAGACTATTATCAGTGTCACTGGATATCATTTTGTTGTTGTTGTTTTGATTCATATATCTTGGCAAGCTAATTCATCAAACTTTTGATAATTTTTAATTATATACTTTAATCCAAAGTAAATAAATGTCATTGTGCAATAAGGACATTATGCTGATAATCAGAAAATTTGGGTTCTAGGTCAAGTTTTATTTCTTTAAGTAAATAACCTTTGTGGTTTTAAGTTTTATTACTGGAATTTGTCTAGGTCACTTTTTTTTTTACTTAATCTCACTGGTTAGTGTATTTTTAAGACAAGTTTTATAGCCCGTTTCTTCCTTTCTTCCTCTTTACTCCTCCATTCTTCCTGAGGTACCTATTGTGAAATTTGATAGTTTGCCAGACAGCATTATAACTTGGTCTAGGAATCACAGGAGACTTACAATTCCTTTCAGTTTGTGCTTTACATTCTAAGATGGAGGTACTACTTCTACTGATTATAAGCCTAAACCATATATCTAATCATGTGCTCAGTTATTTTAGTATTTCTAACACAGTTAATTTATTATTTATCAATAATGGAATTATTGTATTTATTAGAAGTAGAAAGTCAAAACTCTTTAACTTTTCTATTTGTAGATGATCCGGAATTAGTGGAAGAGTCTGCCCAATCAGTGAAAGCAAAAAAAAGTGGAATTTCTCGATCCACAAGCCCAACCTTCGATAAAGAATCAAAAAAGTTTAGATGGTCTAATTATAATTCTTCAGAACCATATTTCACTGGTACTGGTACTACCACACCTCAAGTCAGATCATCAGAGGATTGTGCCTCTATTTCTTCCCCTTTTGAAACAGAAAAGGGATGTAAAACTGATTTATTGATCACTGATAAATGCAAATCTGCAGCTCTGACAGAAAACACATCCTCTGGACCATGCTCTCAATCAGAAACCATTATCCCATCAATAAAGACTCATACTACTCTTTCTAAAAATAATTATTCTGATCAGCTGCTCTGCAGTGAAGGAGCCCTGAATCCTGACATTGAATTGCCTCTACTAAATAAAGAAGACAGTCTTTCTACTTCCAGCAGATCTTGTGACTCTGAAGCAGAAGATGAATCTATCTATTTTACACCTGAACTTTATGATCCTATAGCTACAAATGAAGAAAAAAATGAACTCCTCAGAACTGACAGTGATGATAAATTGGATAATAATTCAAACTGCATTTTGGCTGAAGATCTCTTTGAAATTAGAAGTAGAAAAGGAGGGAATTCAGAGAATTTAAAGTTGAAGATTGCATAAACATAAAATCGAATAGCATGGTGCACGCATAATAAGGAAAGTAAAATCAATGACAATGTTAGTAATATATATATATTAATGGAACTAAAAAAAACCCATGAGATGGATATGAAAAACTTTAAAGTAATTGGGCCGAAGAATAGTATAGTGGGTGGCCAACTCGGTCAATCTCTAGTACCCCATATGGTCCCCCCCAAACCCGCCAGGAGTGATCTCTGAGTGCAGAGCCAGGAATAAGCCCCAACACCAAAAAAACAGAAATCTTCCAAAAAAGTGTTTTCCCTGGCATTAATATCAAGCTATAAAAATGTTATAATGTATATATTAAATGACTAAAAGTGGTAGTTTGTATATTAATATGTGGTATAGTTTATTTTAAATTTGAGATATATTTTTCACCATAATACATTATTTTTAGTTTTTTTAAGCGAGCATTTTTGTATGTTCTCTGTGGAATCAAGGATCAAGAACTCAAGTTTGTGAGGAGTGCACTCTAGCCCTGATCCACACCCCAGCCTGTCATTAGAGTTTTCATAGCCTCTTTCATATTAAAACATCTATTCTTGAATGCTGATAAAGTAGATTATACGAAAATATTTTCTTTAACAAGTACTCCTTAGATAGATACTATTTAAATTTAATAATTATGAATGATATGTAGTTTCTAGAATACGTTTTTTGGTTTTGAGGCCACGTCATTTAATGGTGCTCAGGACCTATGCCTGACTTGTGTCCAGGGATTACTCCTGGCAGTGCTTGGGGGCCATATGCAGTACTGGGAGGGATTGAACCCAAGTCAACTACATGCAATATGAACTTACTCTCTGCTATCTCTCTGACCCAACTTTATATAAATACAATTTTATAATCCTATTCCATTTGTGTGTGTGTATCAGTGTATTAAAATTATTACCAAACTAATGTGGTCAGAGTTTTCAGTTATTTTCACTTTAGACTTTACCTCAGTTCAAACTGAGAATTTTTTTAGAACTCAAAAATTTTCTTGAAAACTATATTCCTTTATTCAGCTCTCTACTTATTAGTATTTACGAAGAATTAAAGAAGAAATCTGCATGATTTCTTGTTGGTTTTTTATGTGTATTTTAAAATAAAAATACAATTTAAGCTAATTTTTGTAAGGTTTTAAAGTTTCAGATTTTCTATTCTCATTCTCTTGATTCATTTTCATTGTGGAAATGTAAGACATGACCTAGCATAGAGCTTTTGATGATGCAATTATTAAAATAGAAAAGTTGGATTCAAGAGATAGTACAGGTGCTTGCCTTGACCTGATTTGAATCACCAGTACTGTATGGTATGACCCTCAAATCAAAAAGTGTTCAGTTAAATAGAAAAGTTATTATATAAACCTGATAGGAATATCTAAATATACAAATGTGATTTTAAAATGTTGCCCAAGGGCCAGGGAAATAGTACCAAGAAAGGACTAGAGAACATGTTTTGCATGCAGAGATCTTGTATTTGATCCCTGAGAACCACATGATTCCCCAGCCACTGCTGAGTATAACTCTGGTAGTTCATCTTCCCTGCAGGGCCAGCATTGCATTGTCCGCTGAACACTTAATCTTTAGGCCTCCACAGCTAGGTCAAGTATCCCTGGGAGTGGCTCTGGGAACCCCTGAACACTGTTGGGAGACCCAAAATAAAATAAAATGCTGTCATAAAGCTGAATAAACCTTCTGTATGTTTTGACTGTTTGTGAATTAAGTGTTTTGATCAAAATGGTTCTCAAAAATGCTCTTCTGGCTTTACTCCCTAAAGGCATTCACCGTTCCTTTTTTAAGAGACTTCTATTACATAATGGACAGGTATGTTGTGAGTGTTTGAATTAAAATTTTATGATCTGTTCAAGTTGTAGATGTGTCTTCATATTTTCAAGTCAAATTTTCAATATTTTATAGTCATTAGATAATTATAAATCTATAGGTTTACTTTGATTTTGATGGGTTTTAGATGGAAAAGTTTGTTTTTATTACATTGGATATTACAACTCTAAACATAGTTCAAAAACTTAATACTTTACCAAAGTTGAAAAAAATCAATAGATTGAGTATATTAGATCCCACCTAGTATTAAATATCTTAATTCATATGAGCAATAGCACAGCAGGTAGGGCCTTGCACATGGCCGACCCGGGTTTGATTTCTCTGTCCCTCTCAGAGAGCCCGGCAAGCTACTGAGAGTATCCCGCCCGCACGACAGAGCCTGGCAAGCTACCCGTGGCATATTCGATATGCCAAAAACAGTAACAACAAGTCTCACAACAGAGACATTACCGGTGCCCACTTGAGCAAATCAATGAACAGTGGTATGACAGTGCTACACGTGAGTTATAAACACTAAATTAAAAGTTAATTATAAGTTTTGAAAGGGTTTAAAATATTTCTCCTTTCTGTTATAGCTCTTTTTTTTTTCTTTTTGGGTTACACCAGTAATCCACAGGGGTTACTCCTGGCTCTGCACTCAGGAATTACTCCTGGCAGAGCCCGGGGGACCATATGGGATGCTGGGAATCAAACCCAGGTTGGCCGTGTGCAAGGCAAATGCCCTACCTGTTATGCTATTACTCCAGCCCCACTCCAGCTCTTAATCCTCAGATAAGGCTAGTGAGATAGTGCAATGCAAGTGGAAGACAAGAGGCTTGATTGTTCTTAGCTCTGCACTAATTTGATAAATTGGCAAACTCCGTGCATCTTCAGGAATTAGTTATATTGGTGAAATGCAGCATCTAGTACTATAAAAACCTGCAAATCCTTTATGACCAAAGAGGTAGCACAGTGGGGAAGGTGCTTGCCTTGCATATGACCGAGTTTGGTCTACAGCAGAACTTTTGGTGCCCTGACCACAGGCAGGACCATTGAGCAGAACCAGGAGTAAGCCTTGAGTACCACTGGACGTGGCCCAGAAACCAAAACCAACCAAACAAAAAATTATGCATATTCCTTTCAGGTTTAAAAACCCATAGTTAAGGCAAGAGCCAGAACAACGGTACAATTGGTGGGGTACTTGCCTTGCAGGTAGCAGATCTAAATTCAATCTCAGCACCCCATATGGTCCTTGATCCCTGAGCACAGAGCTAGAAGTAAGCCCTGAGCATCACTGGGTGTGGCCCCCTCCCCCCCAAATAAAGGCAATTTAGGAGCCAGGGAGTGGCTCAACTGTAGGGCATTTGTTTTGCATGGGTTTGGTTCCCGGCACAACCAAAATAAAAGCTCACATCCTCCCAAAAGACAAAGTTTGAAGAAATTTAAATAAAAATGTATACAGTAGATGTTTTGAAGTTTTTGTAATTTTACCTAACTTTGTCAAATGCTCTCTTCACCTATTGATATGATCATATTTTTTTTCTTTTGGACTGATAGCACGGTGAGTAGGGCATTTGCTTTGCACGCAGCTGGCCGGGATTCAATTACTCCTTCCTTCTCAGAGAGCCCGGCAAGCTACTGAGAGTATCCCACCCGCACAGAAGAACCTGGCAAGCTCCCCATGGCGAACTCAATATGCCAAAAACAGTAACAAGCCTCACAATGGAGACAGTACTCGTGCCCACTCGAGCAAATCCATGAACAATGGGAGGACAGTGCTATGATATGATGCATTGTATTGATTGACTTGTTAAATATCCTTGCATCCCTGGAGTGAATCCTACTTGTTTATCTTTTAGATAAATTGTCGGATTCTATTTGCTAGTATTTTGTTGAGGATCTGAACTCACTAGTGGATCCATCTGAGCTGGGCTTTTGTTTTGGGGAAAGCTTTGATTACCATTTCAGTTTCCTCTCTAGTCTGTTCAGGTATTCCATAATACCTTGGTTCAGTTTGGGGAAGTTGTAGGAGTCCAACAATTTATTCATTTCTTCTAGGTTCTCTCATTTCATGGAATAGGTAAGGTAAAGGTAAAGGCCCTCCCGTTGATCGTCGATTTGCTCGAGCGGGCCCAGTAACGTCTCCATTGGAGACTTTGTTGTTACTGTGTCTGGCATATCGAATACTCTCGGTAGCTTGCCGGGCTCTCCGAGAGGGGCGGAGGAATCGAACTCGGGTCGGCCATGTTGGCCGCGTGCAAGGCGAACGCCCTACCCGCTGGAATAAAGATTTTCAAAGTAATCTCTGATAATTCTTTTAATTTTTGTGGTGTCTGCTATGATGTCCCTCCTTTCATTTCTGATTCAGTTTTTTAGAGTTCTCCCTCTTTCTTTGTAGTCTTGCTAGTAGTTTATCGATCTTGTTTATTTTCTCAAAGAACCAGCTCTTGGTTTCATTGATCTTTTGGATTTTGGGGGGAGATTTATGATCATTTATTTCTGCTCTGAGTTTTTAAAATTTCTTTCCTCCTGCCTTTAGGCTCCTTTTGTTCGTCACTTTCCAGTTTTTTAAGCTGTTTAGTCAGATCCTTTATATGGGCCCTGTCTTTCTTCCTGATGAATGCTTACAGAGCTATAAACTTTCCTCTTAGCACCATTTTTGCTGTGCCCCACAAATTCTGGTAGTTCGTACACTTATTCTCATTTGTTTCCAGAAATATTTTGAATTTCTGATTGATTTTCTCTGTGACCCACTGGTTGTTCATTGGTGAGCTGTTTAATTTACAAGTGTTTCATAAAATTTTCCATATCTGTTTATGGTTAATTTCTATTTTCAGTATATCATGGCCTGAGAAGATAGTCGATACAATTTCTTTTTTTTTAATTTTTATTAGTGAAACACTATGAGGTACAGTTGTAGACTTATAAGTTTTTGTGCTTAGTTTCAGTTATACAATGATCGAGTACCCATCTCTCCACCACTGCCCATTCTCCACCACCAATGATCCCAGTATTCCTCCTAACCACCACCACCCCCACTATCCCATCCTGCCTCTGTGGCAGGGCATTCCCTTTTGTTCTCTCTCTCCTTTTGGGTGCTGAGGTTTGTAAAAGAGGCATTGAGTGGCAACCATGTTCAGTCTATAGTCTACTTTCAGCATGAATCTCCCATCCTGGGAGGATCCTCCCAACACCCTTTATTTGGTGCTCCCTTCTCTATCTGAGCTGCCTTTCCCCCCAGCATGTGCGGCTGGCCTCAAGCCATGGAGTGAACCTCCTGGTACTTATCTCCATTATTCTTGGATGTTAGTCTCCTATTTTGTTACTTTATTTTTGTTACTTATGTTAGTCTCCTATTTTTGTTACTTTAGGGCTGAAGCGATAGCATAGCGGTAGGGCATTCTCCTTACAAGCGGCCAACATGGCCGACCCAAGTTCTATTCCTCTGCCCCTCTCGGAGAGCCCAGTAAGTATTCGATATGCCAAACACAGTAACAACAAAGTCTCCAATGGAGACCTTACTGGGCCCGCTCGAGCAAATTGACGATCAACGGGAGGGCCTTTACCTTTACCTTTACCTTTTGTTACTTTATGTTCCCCAGATGAATGCAATCTTTCTGTGTCTGTCCCTCTCTTTCTGACTCATTTCGCTTAGCATGATACTTTCCATGTAATACCACTTGTATGTAAATGTCATGACT